ACGGATTCGGAGCGGAAATTATCCGTACCATTTACATCCCTACCTGGTAGTATAGGCGTAGCAATTGATGATGGAAAACTAAGGGCCGCCCCAGTACTATGTACTAGCACCTTCATGTGGCGAAGTAGCAGCAGCAGAAACAAATTAGCCTTGTACGTGAACTTGATACGTGGTTGATCATCGCGTAACCAAAAGTTGTGGACGACTTGCGATTTAACGGCTGACAGATCGCCTCGGGACTTGATCCCCTTGTGAGCGGCAACTGATGTGGATGCTGCGTACGGAGCGGCAGCGGCAACACAGCGGAACAATAAGGACGACTGCAGCTTTGAGGATCTCCACACGTTGGAAATCGAGTTGGTCTCGGCGGATTAAAAAATGATCAGATGAATCGCAAAACTGCGGTGGCCGAGCGGACCGCAACTCTAATCCCTCTCGATCTCAATATCGTATCCGAACCTCAGCCCTGATACTACTTTGTTAGATAATAACGAAAATAAATGAGACACGAGAGCACATGAATTTTTACGTGGAAACTCTTGCGGGAGAAAACCACGGACACACGAAGACGCAATTATTATGAGGAGGAGTATTACAAGTATGAGACGACCGACCGTCTTAAGTGCGACTACATGAAGTATATATGAGAGCAATATATAAAAGTACTTGTAGGACAAGTAATCGAGTTGTACTCACACGCGTCGACGTCAACGCAAAGGCTCACATCGGTTGTACTACGCCTAATCTAAAACGGTATAATTTGAATCACAATTTAACAAAGGAATCGGTGTAGAAATGCCTAAGTCTTAGCTTGGAGTAACCAAGTTGATTTGCTCGGGAGATCTATACTGAGACACAGGGCTAAAGCAAACCAACTAGTGCGCGGAAGCATCAGAGAAAATGTTATACTTGAAGGTACCGTGGCTAACAGAGATGGTCCCAAAGAAAATACTACTCGGTGGCACAAGATAAAAATTCTTGACAGTCCAGAGGAGACAAAAGAACAAGGTCGCTCAACATACTTACTCGTTCCTCACATGATCAGTAGTACCAGGGATACTGAAAACTGATGAAACTAAGTGAAAGGGTGGATAACTGGGATTTTAGTTGAGTATCTCGATTTGGAGTTCAACCCTAGCTAGCATGTTGTTTCCCTCTCGATAGTGCCGTTGTCCCTGAACACAATGTTAATCTTGGATTCATCGAAATGATGTAATTACACCATATGAGCTGGAAGGAGCTAACCTTTTGTTATCACAAAAGTAGAGGTCATCAATTATGGTTCCACTCGCCATATGAGCTGGAAGGAGCGACGGAGGAAGACGGCTCCCGATGGATTTCAAATCGGGGGTAGTATTGTACTTTCACACTATTTCACCTGGTCGGAATGATGCTAACCTTTTGTTATCACAAAAGTAGAGGTCATCAATTATGGTTCCACTCGCCATATGAGCTGGAAGGAGCGACGGAGGAAGACGGCTCCCGATGGATTTCAAATCGGGGGTAGTATTGTACTTTCACACTATTTCACCTGGTCGGAATGATGCCCCCAGCGACAATTATTTCGGAATGGAGGGAGTAGTACTAAACTTGATAGAACTTTGGTCCACAATTAGTAATTGTCTTGTCATTGATCGCTGAAACCCAATTTTTCTCTAATAATAAAGGACGGGTTGAATTTCTCGAGTTCACCGTCGTGGCATTTCTACACAAAGGTCCCTGTGATTTTTTGTATTGAACCCGCAATCCATCACTAATCTGATAGAAAAAACGATTCGCTGGAAAAAATACCCGTCCGCATGCATCTGGCTCCTCACCTCGACCCTGGCCAGGCCGAGCCAAATCCCCCCGGCCGCCGCCGCACCACTCGCCACCGCGCCCGACCTCAACCCGCCCGCCGCCGCGGCCGCACCTCTGCCTGCTCGCGGGCCTCCACCCATGCGCCCCGCTTTGCGATGCAACGCGCGACGTCCTCCGCTGCCAAATCAGCGCCCATCGGGCCACACTCTGCACCGGCTGCCCCACGCTGGCCGAGATCCTCCGCATCCTCTCCGTGAAGCGGCGTCGTCACGGGTGGACTTCGATGCCTGGCTCGCCTACAACCTCCCCCAAATCCTACATGAGGTTCAGGTACAACATCTACTTGGTTAATTTCTAAATTCCCCTTCTTTTTTGCGCCAGTATATGCAATTGAGGGAGACTCTTCTTGCCGCTGCCGCCAACCATCTGTTCCTGTCATCATCTCCTCTTTGTGCCTTGCGGCGGCAGCAGCCAGCTAGCCAAGTTCTCTTCCTCTCCAATGTAGCTATCAAGTGCAGCGTTGCCTGTACTGTTCTCAGGTATCAAGGATTTTGCTGCTTCCCAGATAATATATTGAAGTATTTTTCTTCTATTATATCTACAGGCATACTGCCTTGATTATGGTGACCACCACCAATCCACCACTTGGCTGGCTGTCTTTATATTGTCACATTGATGGACTGTTACATGGTACATGGAAATCTGAAGTCATTTTTACATATTTGCACACATGAATGGCATGCTTGCCGATGGAAAGTGCGGCTTTCGGGTCAGCCCTTCATGACATTGATTGTGTGCTACTGCTGCTGATTTTGCTGCTGCTTAATACTAACCTATACTGCTGCTGATTTAGTTGCAAATTGAACTTACTATCTGTTATCTTTTCTCTAATATTTCTCAAGATCAGATCCTCTTTTTAGCTCTCTATTGCAAAATTACTTAATATACAATGTGTTCAATAAAAATCATGAAACACTTAACTCCTTATTGATTTCATTGTCCCTTTTCCTTACAATTTTCCGTCTAATGTGTGTCGCTTCCAATTGCATTGAAGATATATTATTATTTTTCACAAAAAAGAAAGTATGATTTCAACGTCATCTGCCTATGCTCCACCTGGGGTACGACGTTGTACAACTTGATTACTATATTTTATATGATCAGACCATGAATAGCCTTGAAGTAGCACACCCCTTGCTGTTGTAACTATTACACCGTCGTATAATATGAGTATGAGATTCTACATGATCAAACAATGTATAGCCTTGAAGTATCAAGTTCCCTTGCTGTTGTAACTTTCAACATGGATTTTTGCTATTGTTCTATTGCTTAACATGATTTCTGATACGTAATAACTACTCCCTCTGTTTTTTAAATATAAGTCTTTTTAGAGATTTCAATACGAACAACATATGGATGTATATAGACGTTTTTTAGAGTTTAGATTCACTCATTTTGCTCCGTATATAGTCTATAGTGGAATCTCTAGAAAGACATATATTTAGGAACGGAGGGAGTATATGATTTTTATTTATGTGATGTTAGTTTGATCCAACTGGAATTCGTAGTGTTGAAGAATGATGCCACATGATGTAAATAGGTTTGATTTAAGTGATATTGTGCATGTTGTTCATAGAAACGTATGCTGTTCTTGCACATTGATCGAAGACAAGCATGCTGGTGTTGTTGCAGACTCATAGTTGTTATATTTCATGTATTTTCCATAATCATGTATGGATATTTCTATTTACTGCTTTAAACCATGCCTAATATCATTAGAATTCATTACCCATAGTATGTCCCATAACAAGAGATTTGCAGCCAAGTATCAATTGTCATGCAGATATTGAGTTCAACACTTCAGCTACCTCAATTGCACATGAGAAAAATGATACTTCTAAGTGCCCGAAATGATACTTCTAATTGCACATGTGATTTACTAAACATATTTTGGTTTATGATCCCCTTTGGCGTACACTTGTGCCCGCCCCATTATTTTCAGTTTGCAAATTTTTTTGAAAGAAAGGGGGTTTCCCTCGATTTCATTAACGAACCCATAAATCTGTTTATTACAGCCAGAACGCACCCATCAGTTTGCAAAATAGTAGGTAAGGAACGACAGAAAGTGGATTGTTCAGTTTTTCAAGCATAATGGCACACCTAATTTTGGCAGATCACTTGGCTTTGAGGTTTTCGCATGACTATATGAGGTTCTCATAAACTCATGTATTGCCACAATATCTTCTTTTAATGTACTAGGGAATTGTCTTTTTTTTCTCAGGTAAATAGCTCCTTTCTCACCCGTTTTTCCAGACTGAGATCAAGATAGGGAGGGAGGGAGCTTTGGTTAGGTCGAGGTTGGAGGATATACACGCTCATTGTGGCTGCAATTTGTACATGACAATACATGTTTTGTTGGTCTTTGCTTTGTACTGATGCTGCCATTATTTGTGTGATGGTGCCATTATTGTACAGAGGGAAGGGACAGTGAGAGAGATGGGTAGAAATTTCTATTTTTGTTGTAATTATTTGTTGTCCAAGCTTATTATTTATTGGTTGTTGTAGGTTGTTGTGATGGAAAGTTAACAGTACTTTTGATTATTTCAAGGCAATGTCAGATTTAATAATTTGAACTAGACTGAACTAAAACATGTTGATGTAAATGAGTCTGAACATGATTAACATGATCGTGTAATTTTTAGTGACAAACAGGTTGGTGAGGTATTTTTACTCCCGTTGCAACGCATGGGCATTTGTGCTAGTAAGGGTATAATATACACTTTCACCAATCCTACAATTTTGAGACGCAATGAGTGTTTATCGCAGGAAAAAAACCTCTGCCCGGCAATAGAATTTGATGTAAATACCAAAGTTGAAAACCTACGATTCACCTCCAAACAGGCCTCTCCTCTCCTAAGCTAGCCTAAATGAGAAAGCAATCGCCAACTTCATGAGGCACATTCATCCGCATACATCTTATTATGTCGACGTTGTAGCCTATGTAATGTCGTGAATATTAGAAGCATATAGTCGATCTGACCATACAGATGCCTTGCAAATTTGGCTTTTTATATTCAGATCGGTGGGAGTACACAGTTCTCACATATTTAACAACATAAATAAACACCGAAATGGCAAGAACAAACAAACCCATCCTGCCTCCCTTTTCCAACAAATTCACCAAAACAATGTTTTTGTGGTCAGCTTGCTGTGGCCTTTCCGGCAACTTTCTGGGCTATCCATCCCATCCCATCATAGAGGCCCTCACCAGTGATCGCGCACGAGGCCTGTATGTGCCAGTCGTGGTTCTTTATGCTGTGGAGGGACAGGGCGTCTGTGATCTCAGCCGCCGACATGGCATCCTTGAGATCCTGCTTGTTTGCAAACACAAGGACCACCGTGTTGTCAAGGTCTGCATGCTGAATCAACCGGAAGAGCTCATCCTTGATGATGTTGATCCGAGCACGGTCGGTGCTGTCGATTACCACGATGACAGCATGAGTTCCTCTATAGTATGTCGCCCATGAAGTGCGTAGGCTCTCTTGTCCTCCTAGATCCCACACCTACTTCATCAAACATATATGAAGTTAAGTACAAATAATACAATTGCATTTACTGAAAAAACAGTTTTTTAGTGAATGTGCCACATGAATGGGCCAAACAACCTCCATAAGTCAAGTAACCTTAAAACAGAATGTGCAACTTCCACGACACAAAGGCATGTTTGGTTTTGTTTGTGCCTATATAGTTAAGAATCAAAAATTGGTCATGGACGAAACAGGAGAATGACAAATATTGTAGTTAAATATTAGATTAGAGTTTGAACTATAGCAAATCCAAACCTGCCAAAGAATGGCGAAGCATTTCGTCATCCACAAATTTAGACTAGCATTTGACATGTCTTAGTTTCGTGCAAGTTGCCAATTCTGTTTTCATGAAATTTGACAAGCATGCTAGACGAATTTTGCTACCAGTCCAACTAAGAAAATGTTAGGCACTATCAAGTTTCACTAAGCTGTGGCAGTCAGACGATCGAATCTTTCCAGGAAGCAAGTGAAATTACAGATTGCTGGGATTTGTGGTAAATTATAAGTATGACAACTCACCACTTTAGACCTGGTCTAGGAATAAGCAAGTGAAGTCTTATGACTTGAAGAAAGGCAAATGATTAAATGGATATTGGCTTATCAACACAAGGATAGTTGGGCTTGGGAGACTAGATAAAATTTAGACCGGCAAGTACTAAGTTTGAGTGGAGAAACAAGACAGACTTGATCTGATTTCAGGTGGCATGGATGTGTTTGGTTGGTGCCCAGGCCAATCATGCCAGAATCTGATCGCCGTTGGTTTGGTCAATACTGGCACCAAAGTGCAATTGGAAATGGGCATACCAAAAGTTTGGCAACATCTAAATAAATTTCAATTTTCTGGACATGGCGGTATATATGTGACAGTTCCACTATTGTGTTAAATTTTGTATATGTACAACAAGCTTGACTTTCTTTTTCATATCCAATTGGATCATTTCCTTATTGGCATTTCTGTTCTGAACTTGAACAATTTATTAGTTGGGCAAAATATGGGTGCTCAGACATGTTCAGAAACAAACTAGGAAAGTAGATCAAAAAGTTCCTGCTATAGGTAGAAGATTCTCCTTTTACTACTAGTCTGGATTGAGATACCATCCTCAGCAAGTCGGCATAGTGACATGTAAGATAGGCAAATCTAAGCTACTCAATAGATCTAACAGCAAGGAATTCATTATCTGCAATTTCGCGAAAGTGTTCACATGCCCATGGAGCTATGAACGTACACAGATCTACAGAGGCAACCAAGATCGCCTGCTGCTCATCGCTGCTAGAACTAGGAAGAAACAAAAAACTCTTTTGTATCTCCTAACCCTCTTGCCGAGATCAGATCTTTAATCTCAAGGAAAAAACATACAGCGCTGGATGCATGATATGCCATGCTTTCCGAGCACACGAATCATGGAGCAAGAAGCACGATCTGAGTATACCAGCAAGAGCAAATATAGTCGTGCAAATTCGGATTCTAGCATCCAAACCGGGAGAAAAGGAAGGGGCTGGAGCGCTGACCTCGAAGCGTATATTCTTGAACACGACCTCCTCGACGTTGCTGCCGATGGTTGGCGCGGCGGTGACCGCCTCGCCGAGGTGGAGCTTGTAGAGCGTGGTGGTCTTTCCGGCGTTGTCGAGCCCCACGACCACGATCTTGTACTCCTTGGACGGGAACATGAGAAACCACACCCGGGACATCCACGCCCCCATCCTTTCCCTCCCTCAAATCCGAACCTCGCTGGTGATCGGATCTACGAGGGGCGGAGAGGAGATTGGATCGGCTTCGTGGAGGAAAGGGAGAAGGAAGAAGGAAAAGGCGTCGTCGCGTCACCCGCCGTCCGTGCGTGCCACGGCCGGGCTGTACCGAACCAAGACAAAAACTCGGCGGATTTCTTTGTTTTGTTTTTGTGTGAAACAGCAGGATTTGTCGTCCCTTAGAGCAACTCTAACGGACCCCGAAAGTATTTAGAGGATGTACAACAGTGTCTATTCAGCTGTCTATAAGGGCATGTACATTAATTTACACGGCTACTATCTATAGCAACGATCCACGTCATCTACAGACAATAGGCAAAACACCCTTTACAATGGACTATCTTTTTTTTTGTTGTCTATATAGCCTTCTAAAATTACGCCATTATAGTGAAAATTATTCCAATCTACCTCCATCAGTTACCCCTTCCGAGCATGAAGAGACTGACGACAGCGTTGGCGTTGGCGCCGGCGCGGCAGTCCGGCGTGATGCATCCCAAGAAGGAGTGCGTTTGAGAATCGATCGAGGAGCACCTACGTGAATCTAATCAGTTCCTCGTTGGACCTCTCCATAGACGTCTAGCGTGATGCCTAGCTAGGTAGCTGATCCGTTGATCGATTATTTTAATCACTGCAGGCCTGCAGCTCATTCGTTCGAGGCATCTATCGATCCCAGCAGTCCGGCGGTCCCCAACCGTGCAGGTCGTGCCGGAGTAGATAGCGACGGAGAAAAGCAAAACATGTTCCGTGGATTGGATTTGTGAAGGACGTGGTTTCACGGTTCAGGGAACTACAGACGCCCAGTCGTACAACGGCAAAGAGGCCGTCGATAGCTAGCGAATTTCCAGCGCTATCGACCGTGTGCCAAATTACAGACGCCCTTCTTCTCTCTCCTAGTTCTCTTCCCTCCAGCTAGACAAATATCCTCTCTGGCATGTGCTACAGACGGCTGAATGGACACCGTTGTACATGCCCTAAGGTTTATCGCATAGAAAATTTATCTAGGTGAAGGAGAGAGATTGATGAGAGAGAACGAGGGTGTCTATAATTTGACAGACGGTCTGTAGCCCAAAAAACGCTTCTTAGCGACAACCTTTTCCCGTTGTACGCGACAGTGTTGGTAATTTCTCCCACAACCCTGCCTAACCATAGTGTCTACTGGATTATGGTTTTAGGAACCTACAGATAGCAAAAGAGACGGTCCATTGTAAAGGGTATATGTAGTGCTGTGTAGAGCTGATGTGGAGCGTTGTTATAGACAGCAGGTGTCTAGGCTGATGTACATACCCTTACAGACGGATTTGGTAAATTCGGACCTCAAACACCCGCGGACGCGCCCGTGCACTGGCCGGGCATGCCTCAAATTTTCACAGTTGCAGTTGGCCATCTCATATTAGATTCTCAAATCCATGCAAACTAAATGAAACCTACGTACTCCGTCAATCACCTAGCTACTCGTCATCAGAGATGTCGACGATCTCCGTACCCGGCTTCGACGGCATGGGCGGCACCTACAGCTCTGGCTCCTCCGGCGCCTCCGCTCCGGCCTCCTCCGCCTCTATCTTCGCGTCGAGTTCGGCGAAGAGCGCGTCAGACTCCGCCTGCTACCGACGTAGGAACGCCCGTTTGGCCTCCACATAGGCCTCAACTTGGCTAGACTCCAGGATGGCCTGCTTCTCCGCCATCTCGTCAGACTGGGCTACGGTGAACTGCGCCTCTGCCTGCTCCATGTTGAAGCCTGGTAGTTGTTGCTCCGACTCCGGCTGCTCCGTCTACTCCACCTCCATCAGAGCCATCTCCTCCTCCTCCTCCTCTTCCCCCGGCTGCTCCTCCTCCTCTTCCATCGGCTGCTCCTCCTCCTCTTCCCCTGGCTGCTCCTCCTCCTCCGGTTCCAGCGAGTCCGGAGGTAGCCCGATAGCGATGTGGGTGGTGCGCACGGCTTGCCTCACCTGGATCTCGGCACGACGCTCTGGCGTCAGCATGGCATAGTAGGTTATCTTGCTCTGGGCCATGGCGGAGTGCCGGAGCGTGGGCGGAGCGTCGTACCGTGGGAAAAGCTTTGAAGCGGGAGAGGGGGAGGTGCATGGGCTCAGACTGGCAGCGCGAAGAGAAGGGAGGTGGATGGGTTAGGGTTGCGGGACGTCGGCCGGCTTAAATAGCCGGATTCGGTCTTGGGCGGTGAGCCGGAGCGGCGCCACGCGGCGTTTGTTGGACCGCCGGGTTTCCAGGCGTTTCCCCGTGGGACCCCTTCATTAGTCCAACGTGGCGGGCATGCCCGGGCGCTCCTAGGCACCTCCATATCTACCCCATATTTGGGCTAGATATGGGGGTGCCGGTCAGCCCGGGCGTTTGAGGCCCGTTTGAGGTGTCCGTCTGGGTTAAAAAACGTGATCGGTTAGTGCCCGGGCGGCCCGCCCGGGCGTATGAGGCGGGTTTGAGGCGCCCGACTGTAGATGCTCTTATACTTGTGAACTGTAAATGCGGTATAAGGACCGAAAAGCAGAAGTTTTGATGTGGGGCATCCTACAGTCATCCCCATGAATCTACCTTCGTCTCCTACGATACCACATGGACCTGACCCATGACAAGAGCTCGAGCAAGGGCTATCGAAACAAAGGTGAACTCGCTCCTCTCTGAACTAGCACTTTCCACATGTGAGACATGGCTACTACCTCAAGCGAAAACCCTATGTGTGATCAGGTACTTAGAGGGAAGCCACAGAGCCACTACATCCACCGGACGAGCTAGTGAGGACGCCAAGTACAAGGACCACGAGAAGGAGCTGCCAGGAGTCTACAGCCACCAGACGTCCGGCCTAGACCAGACGTCCGACGCCTAGAGCGTTAGCCAGTCAGCCCAAGGCCCAGACAGCGAGGACTACAGCGGCCTAACGGCCGACAAGGACCGGACGTCTGACACCTCCCAGCACCCGGACGACCGTTGTCACCCAATAGAAGGGAAATTATCGAAAGTTCGAAGTCGTCGGACGACCGACGACCGGACGGCCGACCGCCTCCAGAAGTTCGACACCTCCCAGCTAAAGGAAATATGCCCTAGAGGCAATAATAAAGTTGTTATTTATATTTCCTTATATCATGATAAATGTTTATTATTCATGCTAGAATTTTATTAACTGGAAACTTGATACACGTGTGAATACATAGACAAAACAAAGTGTCCCTAGTATGCCTCTACTTGACTAGCTCGTTAATCAAAGATGGTTAAGTTTCCTAACCATTGACATGTGTTGTCATTTGATGAACGGGATCACATCATTAGGAGAATGATGTGATGGATAAGACCCATCCATTAGCTTAGCATAATGATCGTTATGTTTTATTGCTATTGCTTTCTTCATGACTTATATATATATATATATATATATATATATATATATATATATATATATATATATATATATGTATTCCTCTGACTATGAGATTATGCAACTCCTGAATACCGGAGGAACACCTTGTGTGCTATCAAAAGTCACAATGTAACTAGGTGATTATAAAGATGCTCTACAGGTGTCTCCGAAGGTGTTTGTTGGGTTGTCATAGATCGAGATTAGGATTTGTCACTACGAGTATCGGAGAGGTATCTCTGGGCCCTCTCGGTAATGCACATCACTATAAGCCTTGCAAGCAATGTGACTAATGAGTTAGTTGCGGTATGATGCATTACAAAACGAGTAAAGAGACTTCGCAGTAACGAGATTGAACTAGGTATGAGGATACCGACTATCGAATCTCGGGCAAGTAACATACCGATGAAAAGGGAATTACATATGTTGTCATTACGGTTTGACCGATAAAGATCTTCGTAGAATATGTAGGAACCAATATGAGCATCCAGGTTCTACTATTGGTTATTGATCGGAGATGTGTCTCGGTCATGTCTACATAGTTCTCGAACCCGTAGGGTCCGCACGCTTAACATTCAATGACGATTTGTATTATGAGTTATGTGTTTTGGTGGCCGAAGTTTGTTCCGAGTCTCGGATGAGATCACGTACATGACGAGGAGTCTCGAAATGGTCGAGAGGTAAATATTGATATATTGTAAGATGGTATTATGACACTGGAATGGTTTTGAGTGGTTCGGGTATTTTCTCGGAGTACCGAGGGGTACGGGGACCCCCCGGGGAAGTCATGGGCCACGAGAGAGAGAGGGGACAACCCACAAGGGGTGCCCCCCATGGGAGTCCGAATTGACTAGGGGAGGGGCGGCGCCCCCCTTTTCCTCTCCTACTCCCTCTCCCTTTCCCCCTTTCCCACTCCGGAAAAGGAAAGGGGAATCCTACTAGGACTGGGAGTCCTAGTAGGACTCCCCCCATGGCGCGCCCCTCTAGGCCGGCGCCTCCTCCCCTCCTCCTGTATATACAGGGGCAGGGGCACCCCAAGGCACAACAGTCATTCTCTTAGCCATGTGCGGTGCCCCCCTCCACAGTTTACTCCTCCGGCCATAGCATTGTAGTGCTTAGGCGAAGACCTGCACGGATCACATCACCATCAACGTCACCACACCATTGTGCTAAGAAAACTCTCCCTCGACCCTCTGCTGGATCAAGAGTTCGAGGGACGTCATCGACCTGAACGTGTGCTAAACTCGGAGGTGTTGTACGTTCGGTACTAGATCGGTTGGATTGTGAAGACGTTCGACTACATCAACCGTGTTAACCTAACGCTTTCGCTTTCGGTCTACGAGGGTACGTGGACACACTCTCCCCCTCTCGTTGCTATGCATCTCCTAGATAGATCTTGCGTGATCGTAGGAATTTTTTGAAATTACATGCTACATTCCCCAACAGTGGCATCCGAGCCAGGTATATGCGTAGATGATATGCACGAGTAGAACACAAAGAGTTGTGGGCGATAATAGTCATATTGGTTACCACCAACGTCTTATTTTGATTCGGAGGTATTGTTGGATGAAAAGGCCCGGACCAACCTTATATG